CACGCACGCACGCACGCACGCACGCACGCACGCACGCACGCACGCACGCACGCACGCACGCACGCACGCACGCACGCACGCACGCACGCACGCACGCACGCACGCACGCACGCACGCACGCACGCACGCACGCACGCACGCACGCACGCACGCACGCACGCACGCACGCACGCACGCACGCACGCACGCACGCACGCACGCACGCACGCACGCACGCACGCACGCACGCACGCACGCACGCACGCACGCACGCACGCACCCACACACACACCCACACACACACATACACACACACAAATACACACACAAATACACACAAGTAACAGGATTCCCCATCTTTTCCCATATGTTCAGGATTTTTGTCTTCCCCTTCACTTCCCATATTTTCTTGGAAATCGACGATTCATTGTGTCTGTGTGTTTTTGTTCCCTCCTGAGCCACGCTGCGTCGTGCTGCACGGGCCGCCACCGCGCTTGCCTGCTCATGATGCGGGGGCCTGAGCGGGACCTCGCCGTCCCTGGGGTGGTTGCGATGTGCGACACAGTCGCCACTTTCGGGGGCTGCAGGTGGGCCCTGCGGAGTGAGGCGCCGCGCGGACCTGAGCGGGACCTTGCCCTGCGACGCTGCCACCTTCGAGGGATCCTGGTGGGTCCTGCGGAGTGGGGCACCGCGGGGCCTGAGCGGGACCTCGCCGTCCATGGTGGGGTGCGATCTGCGACGCTGTCGTCGCCTTCGAGGGATGCTGGCGGGTCCTGCGGAGTGAGGCACCGCGGGGACCTGAGCGGGACCTCGCCGTCTCTGGGGGGGCTGCGTTCTGCGGCGCTGTCGCCATTTTCGAAGGCTGCCGGTGGGTTCTGCTGAGTAAGGCACCGCGGAGACCTGAGCGGGACCTCGCCTGTCTTGGGTGGCTGCGATCTGCGAAACTGTCGCCGCTTTCGAAGGGCGCTGGTGGGTCCTGCGGGGCGAGGCACCGCGGGGACCTGAGCGGGACCTCGCCGTCCCTGGTGGGGCTGCGATCTGTGAAACTGTCGCCGCTTTCGATGGCTGCTGGTGGGTCCTGCGGAGTGGGGCACCGCGGGGACCTGAGCGGGACCTCGCCGTCCCTGGTGGGGCTGCGATCTGCGACGCTGCCGCCACTTTCGAAGGCTGCTGGAGGGTCCTGCGGAGTGAGGCACCGCGGGGGCCTGAGACCTGAACGGGACCTCGCCGCCCCTGGGAGGGGCTGCGATCTGCGACGCCGTCGCCACTTTCGAAGGCTGCTGGTGGGTCCTGCTGAATGAAACACCGCGGTGGCCTGAGCGGGACCTCGCCGTCGCTGGGGGTCTGCGATCTGCGACGCTGTCGCCACTTTCGAGGGCCGCTGGTGGGTCCTGCGGACTGAAGCACCGGGGGACCTGAGCGGGACCTCGCCGTCCCTGGGGGGCCGCGATCTGCGACGCTGTCGCAGCTTTCGAAGGCTGCTGGTGGGCCCCGCGGACTGAGGCACCGCAAAAACCTGAGCGGGACCTCGCCGTCCCTGGGGGGGCTGCGATCTGCGAAACTGTCGCCGCTTTCGAAGGCTGCTGGTGGGCCCTGCGGAGTGAGGCACCGCGGAAACCGGACCGGGACCTCGCCGTCCTTCGGGTGGGGGGCTGCGATGTGCGAAGCCGTCACCACTTTCGAAGGGCGCTGGTGGGTCCTGCGGAGCGAGGCACCGCGGGGACCTCAGCGGAACCTCGCCGTCCTTGGGGCGCTGCGATCTGCGACACTGTCGCCGCTTTCGAAGGCTGCTGGTGGGTCCTCCGGGGTGAGGCACCGCGGGGGCCTGACCGGGACCTCGCCGTCCCTGGGGGGGGCTGCGATCAGCGACGCTGCAGCCACTTTCGAAGGATGCTGGTGGGTCTTGGGGAACGAAACACCGCGGGGACCTGAGCGGGACCTCGCCGTCCCTGGGGGGGGCTGCGATCTGCGCCACTGTCGCCATTTCTTCTAAACCTCTTTGGTTGGGTATTCGTTTTGAATAGAAGGGTGTGGTCGTGTCTCTCCTGCTTCTCCTCCTCCCCTCCCGCGCCCTCTCGCCTCCTGCCCTCGCTTCGCCGTCGCTGGGGGGCTGCGATCTGCGAAACTGTCACCACTTTCGAGGGCAGTTGGTGGGTCCTGCAGAGTGAGGCGCAGCGCGGACCTGAGCGGGACCTCGCCGTCCTTGGGGGGCTGCGATCTGCGAAACTGTCGCCGCTTTCGAGGGCTGCTGGCGGGCCCAGCGGAGTGAGGCACCGCGCGAACCTGAGTGGGACCTCGCCGTCCCTGGGGGGCTGCGATCTGCGAAATTGTCGCCACTTTCGATGGCTGCTGGTGGGTCCTGCGGAGCGAGGCACCGCGGTGGCCTGAGCGGGACCTCGCCGTCCCTGGGGGGCTGCGATCTGCGAGACTGTCGCCGCTTTCGATGGCTGCTGGTGGGTCCTGCGGAGCGAGGCACCGCGGGGACCTGAGCGGGACCTCGCCGTCCCTGGGGGCTGCGGTCTGCGGAACCGTCGCCACTTTCGAAAGCTACTGGTGGGTCCTGCGAAGTCCCTGGTGGGGCTGCGTTCCGCGAAGCTGTCGCCGCTTTCGAGGGCTGCTGATCGGTCCTGCGAAGTGGGGCACCGCGCGGACCTGAGCGGGACCTCGCCGTCCCTGGGGCGCTGCGATATGCGAAACTGTCGCCGCTTTCGAGGGCTGCTGGCGGGCCCTGCGGAGCGAGGCGCCGCGCGGACCCGAGCGGGGCCTCGCCGTCCCTGGGGGGCTGCGATCTGCGAAACTGTCACCACTTTCGAGGGCTGCTGATGGGTCCTGCATAGTGAGGCACCGCGCGGACCTGAGCGGGACCTCGCCGTCCCTGGGGGGCTGCGATCTCCGACGCTGTCGCTTTCGAGGGCCGCTGGCAGGTCCTGCGGAATGAGGCGCCGCGGTGGCCCGAGCGGGACCTCGCCGTCCCTGGGGGGCTGCTATCTGCGAAACTGTCGCGCCAGTTCTTTGGAGACACGGTCGTCTCGTGCGAGCACCTCGGTGTTCGCGCCCCCTAAAGCCTCGTGGGCGAGGGCTTGGATGCAATGTGCTGAAGTGGCGTTCGCAATGAGCCGGGCATCCCTCTGGAAGCCTTGTCGTCGGACGGCGGCGCGCGTGCCCTTGAAGAGAGCAGGGCGGCGCGAGGTGTCGCCGAAAACACAGACGTGTTCCGGTGTGTCGCACCTGCTCTTGGTCGTGCCCGGCACGGTGCCGGATCCTCTTCGAGATGGCACTCGAGCTCCTCTCGGCGCAGGAGGGCGGCAAAGAGCTGCTCAAAGGTGACCTTGCGCGGTCGCTGTGAATCGTTCGGGAGGCCAAACCACCACTCGGAAAAACACTTGGACCACGTCGTCGGGTCGAACATGCTCAAAGGCTTCTGCGAGGGCGCGAAGAGGGCTTTGTCGCACTCGGCAGCGTTGTCTAGGAGAGCGAGGTTCCTCTCCCAACTGTGGGTGTCCAGCTGCCAGGCGGCCTCTCGCAAGTCCACGGCGGCCCTGAAGCGCTGCTCCTCCGCAGCGGCTCTGACCGTGGCCAAGGAAGCTGGCTGTGCAGCACTGCTGTCGCTCTGTCCGCTCGGATTCCGGTTGGCGGAAAAACTGAGGGAGGCGACTAACTCCCGCGCGTGTTCCAAGTTGCGTTTAAGGGCGGCCACGTGCTGCACGAACGTGGGCACGGCCGTGGGGTCCATGCCTATTGGGGTTTCGACCTGGCTGAGGTGCTCCACGTTTTATGAGGCACCGCTAGGCTTTGCAGCGCGAGCTGGAACAGCCTCCCCTAACGCTGTCGCAGCGAACTTGTCGTCGTCGCTCTCAGACAGCTTGTCAGTGGCGTCGTCTTCGGGGCGGGCCGCGTCCAAAGGATCGCGGGCGGTGCCCGGCCCTGAGCGCGTCGCGCTGCAACGCTCGACCTCCGGCATCTGGACGGCGCAGTCCAGGAATTGCTGCGGCGCGCCGTTGCGCGGGGGGGCATTCGCGGCGGCCTGGTCCACGGGAATCTCGGCGAAGATGGCGTTGACCCGGGCACGCTCCGCAGCGAGGGCCTTGTAGGCTTCGCGCTGCACGGTGAGGAGCTGACACTTGCGCGAGTCATCAGTGTCCTGGCCGAAAATCACAACGAAACTGTCCTTCAAATGCGTGGGGGGCGGTGGTAGTGCCTCCGCGAGTGTGGCCGAAGCTTGCGAGATCAGGATGTGGTTGCCAGTGAATCCTGACTGCATCATCTCTTTTTGGCCCTTGCCCAGCAAGAGTTTGCGGAAACATGCTCTTCCAAGGCCCAGTAACATCCGTAGACCCAGGGGTGAGCTCTGAAGGGCCGTGCGCCCCCGACCAAGCCAGAGATCGCTTGCGAGGGCAAGCTCGGGCATTTTGATGAATTTCTCTTCGGCGCGCAGACAGACATCACAATTGTTGCAAATGTGCGCTGTCTGGCCAGGATCGCCGATCCCAGCGCGCATCGGTGCCCCGACATCGCGGTCTGCAGGCTGTTCAGCGCTGGCCCGCTGGCCCCTTTGGTGCGCAGGCTGTGCAGCGCTGCTGGGGCGACCCTGCTGGCTGTCGGGCAGGGGCGGCGTGCGTCGGGCGCGCAGCAACCATGCCATGGAATGGTCTGAAGGGTGCAGCAAAGAAGAGGCGAGGAGCTCGGCCTTCGGGATCAACGGCCATCGGTCCATGCACCCGTCCGCGGACAAGTGCCCGTCGATTTTGGCCGCGGCTCCCGAAGCAAAGGGTGTCGCCGCAGATGAGGAACGTCGACGTTCCGCTGTCTGCGTGCCAGAGCTGCGCGCGCGTCCGTTGGTCGGCGGCCCCCCGCCAAAAGTGCACGGGGCAACGGTTCCCAAGCCAATCTTTCCGCGCGCAAGCGACGCAGGCCACCTCGCGCCTCGCCTTTGCCGCGGCGATGGCCTCCGGGCGGTTCCAATGGAGCGACAAGGAACCAGGCGCCGAGAACGTCAAGTGGAAGGTGGCGGACTGCAAGATGCGCCTTTTGACCCAGGGCAACAGGGGCTTGAAACCATCCTGTTGCGCTCGCCACGAGAGCCTCTTGCGACGCTCCGCGCAGCCGCCGTGGGCGTCGGAGCAGCGCTTGAAGAAGGCGCCGTTGTGCGTGAACCCTTTGCCGCAAATCCAGCGCATGACCGGTGGCGAAGCCGCGGGGAGCATGGGGCCTGATGCTCCTACAGGCCGCGCACCACTGCTGGATGCCGATGGCGAGACAGGCTGTGCAGCACTGTCTGCGAGGCGGGTGAAGTAGGCCGGGGGTCGGTTCGCCGCGAGTTCCACATCCGCACCGCGCGCGTCCTGGGGCGTGTAGCGTTTGCAACGGTCGCTGTTGAAGTTGGCGAGAACCCGTGGGGTAGGCCCAAAGCGTGGAATGAATGCCTTTGGAGGCTTCTGCGAAGTGAGCAAGAGGCGAAATGAGGTGCACGCCGCTAAAGTGTTTTTTGAGAGTGGCGCGGCCGTGATCCCGTGATGCTGAGCGAACAAGAAGAGATCCTCCGCGGCGGCGTTGAAGAGCTCAGCGAAGCGGTGCGCGTCGCGGCGGCGCGCCTCTGGGATCTCGAGGGCCGCAGCCAGTCCTGCTTCAAGTGCTGCGCGCAAGGGTCGTTGTAGAACTGATGCAGCACCTCGCAGACTTCAGGGGCGGTAGGGGTGGAATGTCGCCGCTCTGAGGCTGCCTGAGCATAGAGCGCGCGGCGCTCTGGGATGACGTCCTGCAGGGCTGTGGCCGCGCGGTGTGCGCTCAGTAGCACGTGGAAAGGGGCGTTTGGTAGCTCCAATGCTGCCAGCGTCGTCAAAAAGTACCGCGCGTGGGCATTGAAGAGCTGCTCGTTCGGGTCGTGGCGTCCGAACGGTGCGGTGGGCAGCGTCTCGGCCTCGTTGAGGCGTGCGTGGAGCTCCTGCACGGCGCGGGGCGGCGCGTGCTGCGCCGCGGCGGTGGCCCCGTGGAGCTTCGTGAAGAACGGGGAAGTTCCCTCGTTCAGTGGCCCTCGTGTGGTGAGGTGCGTTTGGATTGCGGACGCACAGGATCGGCATGCAACGGCAGTGGCCGTTTTGCAATCACGGATGCGGCCTCTGCGCGGTTGTCTCCAGAGCCGAAGTTTGCCGCAATGCATGTTGTAAAGAGTGCGGATCTCCGCTGATTGGAATGCCCTTTTACTGGCAGGTATGCCTTGCAACTGATTCGCCTGTCTAAGCAATCTCGTAAGTGCTTCGCTGCCGTCGTCGTCTGCAGCCGCCCGGCGTTTGAGTCGTCTGAGCCCCCGCGCCTTTTGGGCCATGGCTCGTTGTAGCTCTGCAAAATCATCGGCGCTCGAGCCATGCTGCAGGATGCTGCGTTCAGTGTGTTCGGGTCGTGCTGCAAGTGGATGTGGCGGTGCTGCCGCTGCTGGTCTTGGCGCTGTTGCTGCTGCGCCAGGTTGTGCGGTACTGCTATTGGTGACGACATCTCCCTGCAAGCTGCTGATCCCTGCGGCGATGGCTGCAAGCCGCCGCTGCTTCGTCGGCGGGCCGGGCTGCGCAGCGCTGGCGCTGCTCTCCATGGGCCCGGGCAGCGTGGAGCTAGAAGTCGCCGCTGCCCCTGCTTGCTGGCTGCCGGGCTGTGCAGCGCCGGCAGAGCTGTCGGAGTTTTGCGGGTGGCCCCGCAGGATGTTCACGATGGATTTGTCTCGCTGCCGCTTGGCGAGCATGCCGGGCTGCGCGGCGCTCGCCCGCGCATCGGTGCGTGACGACCGTGTCGAGCTGGAGCTCGCTCCGGCCCCCCGCGGCTGGCTCTCTACTGCGGAGAGCAAGCCCGCGCGGCGACCCTGACTGCTCTATGGGCCAGGCTGTGCAGCACCGGTCTCGTCGCGGGGGCGTGGTGCTTCACGCGCTGCTGCTGCGGGTTCGTCACTGCCTTGGAGCGCCGCGCCGAGTGCTGCTGAGGCGGAGCCCGACGAGGCTCCTCTCCGGGGCACTTGGTCTTCGCGACCAGGCTGCGCAGCACTGACGCGGTGGAAAGGTCGTTTACCTGTGCGCCCAGCGACAGCAGGCTGTTCAGCACTGCTCGCGGCTTCTGCAAGTGCTGCGGGCTGTTCAGCACTGCTCGCGCTGGGATCAACACTGCTCGCGCCTCCTGCAAGAGCTGCAGACTGCTCAGCGCTGCTTGCGGGGGCTCCGGTCTGGCCGTCGGGGCTAGCTCGGAGCCTGTTGCTTTCGGTGGTGACCGCCTGCTGCAACTCTGTGATCAAAGTCGCTAATGGTCGGCGTCGCCTCTGATCTTTCAGTCGCGCATTCCATGAAGAGCAGAGAGGGGGCACCTCTTCCTGTCGAAGGTTGGGCGTGTTCGTGAGCACCGAAACGGCCGCACGCAGTTTTGAAAGTCGGGCGTGTTACACGCAGTACCTTGCACAGTCAACCACCGATTCGCGGCCTCGATGGAATTGAACGTCTCTGCAGGTTGTTCAACACTGCTTGGAACATTGTTCTCTGCAGGATGCTCAACACTGTTTGCTGGGTCTCGTGCCTCGCCACTCGAAGTCCGTAAGAATGCCCGCATGGCGCAATACACTGCTGCACGCCTTTGCGTGGCTCTGCGAGTCACGCAATTGACGCTGAACGGCAACGAGGATGCAAGGCATTACGGCGCGGTGCTGAACTAATACATGCACACACACACACGCGCACACATGCAGTATTCCACATGGGTGTTATGTATGTATACACATGTATTTGCACAGCTAGAAAGACATTTAGGACATGCGATAATACGTGGGGTTTCATGTCTCCCGGCCGATGCTATGTGCAAAACCTTCGTGAATCCTAAGGGCTCAAGCTGCCCCACTAAGGGCTCAATGTGGCCCCACAGACGGACAACATGCATGTAATATACGTGCGCGCACACATATATATCTATATATATATATATATATAGCAGCAACATTAATGTATGCTGTGCTGCGCTATGATATGCTATGATATGCTATGCTATGCTATGATATGATATGCTATGCTATGCTATGCTATGCTATGCTGCGCTATGCTGGGCTGCGCTATGCTATGCTGCGCTATGCTATGCTATGCAATGCTTTTGCTTTGCCTTCGCTTTTGCCTTCACTGTTGCCATTGCTTTTGTGTTGCTTGGCACCCAGGGAACGCAACTGGGGGAACCGCGCGTTTGTTTTTACATTTGCTGTTGTTTTTGCTTGGCTCCCAGGGGACTGGGGGAACCGCCCGGGGCGCGGTTTGCACTGCCCGGCCCCTTTGAGTCAAGCGAATTCGCCGGCCCAACGGGCCAGAGGCGTGCTGAGATCTCCGGTAACTGCTAAACAAGTGGCACGCGTGCCCTGGCTCTTGCACTAAGGAGCCGCGAGAGACAGAAGGCTTTCGCCTCCTTCCTCCAGGAGTTTATTTTTGTGGCCGCCGGGGGGAGGACGAACGACGAACGAACGACGACGACGACGAGCGAAAATAAAGAGGTCCGAACTCTAGAACACAGCTGCGCAAGATAACAAAGGGTCCAGGGCGAGGGGGACTGGGGCCAGGGCCGGGGGGGGGGAGGCTGGGTCCAGGGCCAGGGCCAGCGGGGCAAGGGGGGCGGGGGGCCAGGGCCAGGGGAGGAGGCAGGGTCCAGGGCCAGGACCAGAGGGACGACGACAAACGAAAATAAAGGGTCCAGGGCGAGGGGAACTGGGGACAGGGCTGGCGGGGGGGAGGCTGGGTCCAGGCCCTGGGCCAGCGGGGCAAGGGGAGCTGGGGCCAGGACCAGGGGGGGAGGTTGGGTCCAGGGTCAGGACCGGACCAGGGACCCAGCGGGGCGAGGGGGGCTCCACGGGGCCAGGACCAGGTGGGGAGGTTGGGTCCAGGGCCAGAGTCGGACCAGGAACGACGAACGAAAACAAAGGGTCCAGCAAGGGGGGGAGTTGGGTCCAGGGCCAGGACAGGACCAGCTGCCTCCGACGACGACGAGCGAAAATAAAGGGTTGCCAGGGCGAGGTGGGCTGGGGCCAGGGCCGGGGGGGAGGCTGGGTCCAGGGCCAGGGTCAGCGGGGCGACGGGGGCTGGGGCCAGGGCCAGGTGGGGAGGTTGGGTCCAGGGCCGGGACCAGAGGGACAACGACAAACGAAAATAAAGGGTCCAGCGCGAGGGGGAATGGGGACAGGGCCGGCGGGGGTGGAGGCTGGGTCCAGGCCCTGGGCCAGCGGGGCGAGGGGAGCTGGGGCCAGGACCAGGGGGGAGGTTGGGTCCAGGGCCAGGACCGGACCAGGGACGACGACGAGCGAAAATAAAGGGTCCAGGGCGAAGGGGACTGGGGCCAGGGCCGGGTGGGGGGGAGGCTGGGTCCAGGGCCAGGGCCAGCGGGGCGAGGGGGGCTGAGGCCAGGACGGGGTGGGGAGGTTGGGTCCAGGGTCGGGACCGGACCAGGGGCCGGGGACGACGACGAACGAACGAAAATAAAGAGGTCCGAGCTCTAGAGCACAGCTGTGCAAGAGAATAAAATGGTCGGGGCGAAGGGGGCGGCGCGCTGGGCTGCTGGGGAGAGGGGGGGGGGGGGGGGGCGACGACGACGCCGAAATAAAGTGGTCGGGGCGGAGGGGGCGGCGCGCTGGGCTGCTGGGGAAAAGGACAGGGGGCGACGACGACGCCGAAATAAAGTGGTCGGGGCGGAGGGGGCAGCGCGCTGGGCTGCTGAGGAGAGGGAGAGGGGGGGGGGGGGGGGCGACGACGACGCCGAAATAAAGTCGTCGGGGCGGAGGGGGCGGTGCGCTGGGGTGCTGGGGAGCGACACATAGCGACACATGTCGACACAACGCCGAAATAAGGCGACGACGACGCCGAAATAAAGTGGTCGGGGCGGAGAGGGCGGTGCGCTGGGCTGCTGGGGAAAGCGACACATGTCGACACAACGCCGAAATAGGGCGACGACGACGCCGAAATAAAGTGGTCGGGGCGGAGAGGGCGGTGCGCTGGGCTGCTGGGGAAAAGGGCCGGGGGGGGGCGACGACGACGCCGAAATAAAGTGGTCGGGGCAGAGGGGGCAGCACGCTGGGCTGCTGAGGAGAGGGAGAGGGGGGGGGGCGACGACGACGCCGAAATAAAATCGTCGGGGCGGAGGGGGCGGTGCGCTGGGGTGCTGGGGAGCGACACGTAGCGACACATGCCGACACAACGCCGAAATAAAGTGGTCGGGGCGGAGGGGGCAGCGCGCTGGGCTGCTGAGGAGAGGGAGATGGGGGGGGGGGGGCGACGACGACGCCGAAATAAAGTCGTCGGGGCGGACGGTGCGCTGGGGTGCTGGGGAGCGACACATAGCGACACATGTCGACACATATCGACAGATAGAGACATATATTGACACACGCACCACACACACGCACACATATCGACGCATAGTGACACACAGCGACACATAGCGACGCACACATGGAGACGCATAGCGACACACAGCGACACATATAGCGGTACATGAAGGGCACAAGGCACACAGCGACACATATAGCGACACATGAAGGGCACAAGGCAGCTGGGGGGGAGCGACGACGACGCCGAAATAAAGTGGTCGGAGCTCTAGACACCCTGTGTAAGAGAATAATACTTCTACTTCGCGCGCGCGGGGCGGCCCTTGGAGGTCCCAGGACGAAAAGTACCCCGGGCGATCCCCGGCAGACTCGGATCAGAGATGGTTTTCCTCCTGGGCGCCGCCCCCGTGGCCCTCCAGAGAGCCCCAAGAAGGGCCACGAGGCCGCCAAGAGCCCTCCAAGATGGTTCAAGAGTGCTCCGAGATGCCACACGATCGTTCCAAGACGCCCAAGATGGCCCCCAGACGCCCCAAGAGGCCTCCAAGAGCGCACTCCCCAGAGGGCCCCAAGAGGCACAATTCATTACTTTTCCTTAGGTTTTGGGCAGATTTTGGCGTGTCCATCTTTTCGGCTTCCCGACGCGCCAAGACGGCCCAAGAGGCCCCCAAGATCTCCCCAAGAGGGCCCAAGAAGCTCCCAAGAAGGCCCCAAGATGGCCCAAGAGGGCTCCAAGACGGCCCAGGAGGCATCCAAAACGGCCCAAGAGGGGCCCAAGAGGGCCCCAAGCGATGCCCCAAAGGGGGAACACAAAACAAGACTTCGAGCCCTCGGCCTTGAGAAGCCCCCAGGAGGCCTCAAGAGGCCCTTGAGAGGCCCCCAAAGCCCCCAAGAGGCCCTCAGGAGGCCCCCAAGCGACGCTGAAGAGGCCCCCCAGCGGCCCCAAGAGGCTCCCCAAATGCCCCCTCCAGCACGCAAGCAAATGCCAACGACCCGACGCGTTCAAGAGTCCCCACGAGGCCACCAAGAGGCCTCCCAAAAGAGCCCCCATAGGCAACAGGCTTCCACACGGGCCACGACGCTGTCAAGACTCCCCTAGCGGCCACCAAGAAGCCTCCCGAGAAAGCCCCCATAAGCGAGAATACATTCTGTCTTATGCATTTTTCAACAACTTCAGCCCAAGAGGGTTTCAGGAGGAGCCCGAAAACGCTCCAGGAGGAGCCCACACGGGTTCAAGATAGCTCCAAGATTTTTTGAACGAATTCAGCCCAAGAAGGTTTCAGGAGAAGCCCGAAAACGCTCGTGGGGGAGCCTAAATGGGTCCAGGATAGCTCCAAGATTTACCAACGAATTCACCCCAAGAGGGTTGAGGAGGAGCCCGAAAACGCTCCAGGAGGAGCCCACATGGGTCCAAGATAACTCCACGATTTTTCAACGAATTCAGCCCAAGAGGGTTTCAGGAGGAGCCCGAAAACGCTCCAGGAGGAGCCCACATCGGTCCAAGAGAGCTCCAACACCGATGGTTCCCGCCTGCGTAATCACCCAACGTCAGCCAGCCATAAACAAAAAAACGATCCAGCAACACCCCATTGACAACGATCACACGGGCACTTGACAGCCGTGCACCAATACGGGCCGGCGGAATGAGTGAAGCGATTAAATTCGCCGGCCCAACGGGCCAGGGCGTGCTAAGATCTCTGGTACCTGGTTAACAGTATTTCTAGTTCGCGCGCGCGGGGCGGCCCCTGGGGGTCCCCGGACGAAAAGTACCCCGGCAAGGTCGGGCCAGAGATGCCGGAGCCCTGTTACAGGGCCCCAGGACGGGCCAAGAGGTCCCCAAGAAGCCTCCAAGACGGTCCAAGAGGGCCCCGAGACGGCCAAAGATCGCCCGAAGACGCCCAACAGGGCCCCAAGACAGCCCAAGAGGCCTCCAAGACGCCCCAAGGGCCTTCCAAGAGGCCTCCGAAGAGGGCCCCAAGAGGCCAAAATTGTTGATTTTCATTGTTTTTCAATGTTTTTTGCGTTCTGGCTTTTTCGGCTTCCGGACGCTCCAAGACGGCCCAAGAGGCCCCCAAGACCGCTCCAAGACGGCCCACGAGGCTCCCAAGACGGCCCCGGAACGGCCCAGGAGGGCCCCCAAAACGGCCCAAGTGCCGCCCAAGACGGACCAAGAGGCCCCAAGACGGGCCCAAGAGGGGCTGAAGAGGGGAACCGAGAACTGAAAAATCGAGCCCTCCGCCCCAGAAGGCGCCCAGGAGGCCCCAAACAGGCCCCCATGAGGCCCCCAAGACGCCCCAAGAAGCGCCCAAGAGGCCCAAAAGAGGCCCCAAGAGGCCCCAAAACGGCCCCCAAGAGGCCCCAAAACTCGGCTAGCCCACAACGGTGCGACAATGTGGGCCGGCGGAATGAGCGAAGCGATTAAACGATTAAATAAGAACCCTTCTAGGCAGAGCCTAGGTAGGGAAATATCGTGATAAACACTTGGCATGACAAGCATTCGACTAGCTACGAAAACATGCCCCCGGCTACGCGGGTCGGATCAGGACGCAACGAACGTGCGTGAAAACAAATGGCACTCCTATATTGAGACCTGAGGTAATGCACCTATAGCGGGCAGCCGCTGTGAAAACGTGTCCCCGGCTACGCGGCAGACCCGAACGACGGGTCCGGCCGCGGCAGGCGACGGCGAAAATACGAAGCCACGCTCTGCCCTGCTGGGCCAGGGAGGCGCATATCCGCCGCCGCGAATGACTCCTGAGCCCTGGATGGGCGAGGTCACGGTCGGGGCTGGCGTATATGAAAGGGCCCCAGGACACACACACACACATAAATACACACAAATATCATGATTCCCCATCTTTTCCCATGTGTTCGGGGTTTTTGTCTTCTCCCCCACTTCCCATATGTTCCCATATTTTCTGGGGAATCGACGATTCATTGTGCCTGTGTTTTTGTTCCCTCCTGAGCCACGCTGCGTCGTGCTGCACGGGCCGCCACCGCGCTTGCCTGCTCATGATGCTAGTGCCCGCGGAACTTCACTGCTCTGGGGAACACTGGGAGACAACTCTCTCAGAGCAACTCCTAGGAAGATCGGGGGCGGCCAAGAGGGGGGTGTCCAAGAGGGGGGTGCAATTCATGACCGGCGGCATGTGCGCGGCCCAGCGGGGTGGCCAGGGACGTAATGAAATAAGAAGAGGCGCCATGAGATCTGGGGAAATATCATGGCCCCCGCCATGATATCCACCCCCCCTAGTCATCACCCCCCTCTTTGTCGCCCCCGAGAAGACAAGCGTCAATCCAACCGTCCCAGTAATGTGACTGAAAGGGCCAGTTTTCAGATCGACTAGCGCTGCCGTGGTGAGCTGTGACGCAAGGCTGAGCGTGAAAGTCGCTGCATACGAGATCCGCTTCGGCAGAATCTGAAAACTCCGCGAGTAGAACAAGCCTTGGCATCCCACGAAAATCCAAAGATGGAGGTCTTCAAAACGGACGTGGAAGCCCGTCGCAAAATACCACGAAACTACCACGCAGGGAAAAACAGAACTCGCACTGGCAATACGTGACACGAAGGCAACGGTGGTCGCATCGTCTCCATGCCTGGGCATGCAGAAGCGTGCGCTCAAGACAAAGCCCATGCCACTTGCCACGGCTGCAAGCGAACCCATGGCGGTCGAGCTCAGGTTTCCAGGACTTGAAGCGGGCTGGCCTGACGAGCCAACGAGGACAATCCCTGAAAGTACCACGAGCATTCCAGTCGCAGCCATTTTGTTGGGATGCTGCCCCTCCAGGAAGAGGTCGACGGCAACGGCGCTAAGCAGCACTCCGAACTGAAACATTAATTGCACCAGACATTGCCCAAGCATCCGAGACGCAACCACGAGGGTGGCTGAGGGCAGCAAACACGCGGCTGCCAACCAAGGCCCAGAATGTTGGGGCATTCTGTTCGGAGACACGAAAGGCAAGAGGCATGCTGCTGATAAGGCGTCAGACAAGCAAACAACGCAATAAGCACTGATGAATGGATCTGCTCCAACGGCGCTTAGGCGCGTGCTGAATAGCAGGCGTACCGTCACAGAAGCGCCCACTGCCAAAGCCCACAAGATGCACATTGCGTACCCAGCACGCGTTCGCTCGATGCCCTGGCTGGACTCCTTCACAGGCTGATTTCCCGCTGCGCTATCAACCTGACTGCTCGCCGGCTTTTCCACATCGAACTGTGCTGCTTTGAACGGCGTCTGTTCGTTCGTCATGATGTGGCGCAGGGGCACCCGTTAGCCCAGCGTTTGAAAGCACATGCTTTGAAAAACTTGAGCCAAAATGGCTTGGAAGCCTCTTGGGACGTTTTGGCTCGATCTGTTGAGAGTATGACGGCTCCTTTGGGGTCGTCGTCGTCGTCGACCGTCTTAGGGTTCCCTTGGGTCATTTCGGGAGCGCGACGGGACGTCGGGGGCTCTCTGGGGCCGTCTTCGGGCTCTTACGCAGACTCGGATTCGACCTTGCCGTCCCTGGGTGGTTGCGAACTGCGAAACTGTTGCCATTTTCGAGGGCTGCTGGGGGGTCCGGCGCAGTGACGCCTTGCGCAAACTTAGGTTCGACCTCGCCAACCCTGGGGGGCTGCAAACTATGGAGTTCTCGCCGCTGCTGAACAACTTGCTAGGGTGTCAACGGGGTGACGCCGTACGGGGACTCAACTTACACCTCGCCATCCCATGGGGGCTGCGAATTGCGACGTTGTCGCTATTTGCTAGCGCTGCTGGGGGTTCCAGCCGAATAGCGTCCAACGCAGATCCATAATAGATCTTGCCATTCCTGTGGGCTACGAAGTGCGAGACTGTCGCTGCTTTCGAGGTTAGCCGGGAGGGTCCAACGGAAGGACGTCGTACACAGATTAAAATCAGATCTTGCCATCCGTGGGTGGTGATGCGGGGGGCTGCGACCTGGGCAAATGTTGTAACTTTCGAAGGCTGCTGGGGGTCCAAGTGAGTAATGTCTGACGGAGGCTCAGCGCCTCGACTTCTCGCGGCGCCCCAACCAGTCACCAGCTCCTCCCGCGGCGGGCGAGGGCCCTGTGAGTCTTGCAACGGGCGGGCATCCAATGTCGCCCGCGCAACAGATGACGGTTCTCGCACTGTCGTCATCCTGAACAATGTGCTGCGGGACAAGTAGTTGGATCGCGCGTTGCAAATGGGTTGGGAGGGTTGGATCTCCATCGTGACTGGTCTAAATTGGGGATGTGCAAAATGACACACAATTTGCATAGGTGCGCGAAGGTTGAAGGCTTGTTAACGAACGGACGAACGAACGGCCCGCGCGCGGCGGAGCGCGCCCTGCTCGGGCTGCCAACGCGCGGGTTTTCACGTGCTGACGACCTCCGAATTCCTGGCTCCCTGCAAGTTACATAAATACATGTACCCCACATTTGTACAACGTTGACGCCATCTGTCCGGCGTCTCAAAGGCCGGCCCGGCGCGCGGTACCCCCCAACAGTCCGACGTAACACGGCGCTTGAGCCCCTACCATACGTGCAGCCGATGTTTTTCCCGACCATCCTGTGGTGTTGGGTCCTCGCTTTGGAAAGACGGTCCACGCGTTTTCCTTCCTCCTCCTGCCTTCCTTCCCTCCTCGTCCCTCTTCATCCTTGCATTTCACTCACCCAGTACAGCGCTTCGTAGCCACACAGGGAGCTCCACCGAAAACCCCAGAGGGACCGCCCGCATGCGTCATCCACCACCCAGTACAACGTGTCGTGGCCTCATAAAGAGTTCCACCGAGGGGTCCAGTGGGACCGCCCGCGTGCGTCATCCACCAACCAGTACAGCGCTTCGCTGCCCCATGGAGGGCTCCACCGAAGGCCCCGTTGGGACCGCCCGCGTGCGTCATCCACCACCCAGCATAACGTTTCGTGGCCCCATAGGGAGCTCCACCGAAGGCCCCAGTGGGACCGCCCGCGTGCGTCATCCACCACCCAGTACAACGCTTCGTGGCCCCATAAAAAGCTCCACCGAAAGCTCCAGTGGGACCGCCCGCATGCGTCATCCACCACCCAGCACAGCGCTTCGTGACCCCAGATGAGGGCTCCACCGAAAGCCCCAGTGGGACCGCCCGCATGCGTCATCCACCACCCAGTACAACGCTTCGTGGCCCCATAGAAAGCTCCACCGAAGGCCACAGTGGGACCGCTCGCATGCGTCATCCACCACCCAGCACAGCGCTTCGTGACCCCAGATGAGGTCTCCACCGAAAGCCCCAGTGGGACCGCCCGCATGCGTCATCCACCACCCAGTACAGCGCTTCGTGACCCCATAGGGAGCTCCACCGAAAACCCCAGTGAGACCGCCCGCATGCGTCACCCAACACCCAGTACAGCGCTTCGTGGCCCATAGGGAGCTCCGCCGAAGGACCCAGTGGGGCCGCCCGCACGCGTCATCCACCACCCAGCACAGCACTTTGTGGCCCCATACGGAGCTCCGCCGAAGGCTCCAGTGGGACCGCCCGCGTACGTCACCCACCACCCAGTACAGCGTTCCGTGGCCCCATCGAGGGCTCCACCGAAGGCCCCAATGGGACCGCGCGCATGCGTCATCCACCACCCAGTACAACGTTCCGTGGCCCCATAGAGGGCTCCGCCGAAGGCCCCATTGCGACCGCCCGCGTGCGTTATCCACCACCCAGCACAGCGTTTCGTGGCCCCACGGGGAGCTCCAGCTAAGGTCTCCGTGGCGGATTTCGCATGGCGGCCCAGTAGCGGAGTTCGCATGGCGGAGACTTTCGATTTTCGGATGTTTTCGTCGTGTTCAACGTATTGAGACCGCTTTCGGGCCGCGCATCCCGGGCGGGAGCCAGCCTGCTCGCTCTCTCTGCTCCGCGCAGCGGACGACCCGCGCGCGTCGCCGGGACCCCTTCGGGGCGACCAGCGCGCGTCGCGGGGGCCCCGCGCGGCGCCTTGCCCGCGGCCTCGGACGCGGGCGCGCGCGGGCCAAGAGGGAGAAAAAGAATGGGAAAGAAGCGGGCGCGATCCTCGTGAGAGGCGTGCCGACATGGGCGTCGACATTTATGCACGTGGACTCGCGCGCGCGCAGACTCATTCACAATCAGACTCATTCGCTCTCAGTCTCTCGCGCACAGACCTATCGTCTTCGCTCGCGTTGTGTGCCCCGCCGCGCACGTCGGCGCGCCCATCGCGCGGTTCGTGGCCCCATAGGGAACGCGGGCTAAGATTATATTCAGAGTCGCGGTATTCACAACTGCGTATGGTCGGGTCCTTCGCCAAGCATTTCTGTTGATTGTGCGACAGATTGGCTTTGCGGCTCTGCCGGGGCCGCCCCCGCATCCGGGAGCCTGACTTCTCGCGCTCGTCCACTGCTTTCCGGGTTGCACGGCAAATCCAATCCGCGTACGGCTCGCCTACCACCCCTGCTGAAGCCGCCCTCCTCGGTGGTGAGGCCATAATGTTCCGAAGCATTTCCCGTGAGTCTGCCTGGAACTTACATTATTTTGCCGCCGCCCTGGTCCTCGTGCCACCCCCGTGCAAACTCACCGCAAGGACCATCGGGCTGAAAAGGCGAAGCGGGGAACGCAACAAGTGATGTTTATTGCGAAGCGCTGCGTTGAATTTGCCGAAGGCCCCCCGTCACTCCGCAACGCGGCTCTGGATTTCTACTTCGCGAAGACCCTGGAAGCACACATTGCGTCCGAGGTAGGCGCCGCGTCCGTCCATGGGGGACACCTCAACCTTGCCACCCCCGACTGGCGCGTGAGACTGCCACAAGACCCCGCGTTTGTTGGTATGGTTTGGAACAATGTTGGTCTCCCCCATGGGCAGCTTAAGCCCAGCTTCCTCAGCGCGCCTGGTCAAGTCTTCCAGCATGTGCCACGTCTGCGCGCGCGTCGCTCCAACCAGCATGCTGTCGTCAACGAAATTGACGTTCGTGACAAGATAAATCCCCGCTGTCGCCCCGATGCCTTTCTTCGCCCAGCCCTGCTTGCGATCGCGCGCGGTAGTTCCCAAAGCTGCGTTGGACAAGATGGGAAGATGCGACTCGCACGGTCAGACGGGATCTGCCCTGTCTGCCCCTCGCACAGTCTGCGCGGCGCTCGGATTAACGAGCTAGGAACGCCTTGCTCGCTCAGGGCTGCCCACGTTGACGCATGGCTTACGTAATCGAGCGTTTGCCCGACATCCGCTGCAACGACCCAGAGATCCATGTTGCGTTCGTGCATCTTTTCGTGCAGTAGAACTAAAATTGACAAGTGGTCGTTGCACCTGCAGCCTTGTGCGAAATCCAGCTTGGCCCACCTATTGCTGTTCTGTAAGGTACGCCAGCGATCGCCTGCGCAATGCCACGTTAAACAATGTATCCAACTATGGAGCCCTTGTAATAGCACGAGCGTTGGTCGGTAACTGGGGTCAACTCTTTTGATAAGCGCTTTGATGTTCGTGTGCCTTCATGTTTGCAGGGGGCTCGTCTCCATCTGTCATACTACTTGTGAAGACACGGGCTACCGCTTCCAGTCGTCGCCCCCCGCTTTGAGCATCTCTGCAACTATGTAGGTTGGAAGCATGATCAGGCAATGGTAACAGCAGCCCGTATGCACTGCATGATATGTTTACCCAATCCTCCTGTATTGGACACTGGCTTTGAATGGAGTGCTGTGGTATCCACTCCTTCTCCTTCTCCTCCCTCCTCCTCCTGCCTCCTCCTGCGCTGCTACATGGGTGGCTGCGAAATGCGCAAAGGTCACCACATTCGTGCGGAGTCCTGGAATGCACATGCCCATCCGAGACCCCGCCCTGCAGGGCATCCAGCAACCGATATGCAACGCATAATATGTTTTCCCAACCTTCCTGTGTTGGACCCTCGCTTTGAAAGGGGCGCTGTGGTATCCGCTCCTTCTCCTTCTCCTCCTTTTCCTCCTGCGCTGCTCCTGGGAGGCACTGCGGAATAATGGATTCCGCGCGCCCAGCCGCGACCTCGCAACTCACCGGGTGGCTGCGAACTGCGCAAAGGTCGCCACTTTCGTGGGCTCCTGGGAGGCACTGCGAAATAAAGGAATACGCGCACCCATCCGAAACCTCGCAGCTCCAAAGGTGGCTGCGAACCGCGCAACTGTTGCCACGTTCGTGGGCTCCTGGAAAGTACGGCGGAGTGGGGGAGTACGCGCACCCAACCGAGACCTCGCAACTCCCTGGGGGGCTGCGAACCGCGCAACTGTTGCCACGTTCGTGGGCTCCTGGGAAATACGGCGGAGT